CTATGATTTGACTATACCTAGAGGCATCGATTTGTTAAAATTTTGTACTAAATAAACTACCAAAACAATTAAACGGCTCATCTTACCCTTTTATCCAATCTTTTTAACTTCTTAGCCGTTGCTCTACCCTGCTTCGTCTTGTTATCTATGGCTATAAAGCTTAACCTTTGCTGTCGCATACGCTCCCGACAATGAAGCGCTTGTATTGTGTTGCTTTTTTCCACGGCATATTTACAATTTCATTGCACAATTATCAAAAAACAAAAAACATACGATTGTAAATGGACACTTTATCTTTGAAATCACACAATAACGAAAACAATCAGAGCATAAACAAAAAAGATATAACTAGCCGAAATTTGTGTATTTTAGCGACTTCCTTTGAAACTTAGTAACTAGCGCGAATGCCCGGAAAAAGACCAAGCAAACTAGAATAATAATAAAGTAACCATGGCAATAATTGGGATGAAAATAATCCACAGAATCTCCTCTTTCACACTCGTATATATCTATATATTCTTACACATCCTACAAAGTACCAGAAGCAAGAGAAAAAGCGCGATTTTCAAAATTAGAATTAGTTACCAGTCTTACATTTTTTCCGCTCGGTAATTAGAAAAATAGTGGACACTTCTAGTTGGCGCTTTTGACAGGCGTGTAGCGACATCACCAGGATCAGTAGGATCATCAAGATTGGTTATCCTATTACCTCCCATATCGATGTCACCTGTCATTGTAAAACCAGCTGGTTGAATTGTAACAGCAGCCTGTCTAACGATCTCGTTATCCACCCACTTCTTAGTAACCGCAGAGGTATCATCTGTAGGAGCACCAAGACCCTTCACCTCATTACCATCCATCTCAATGTTTCCTTTCATGGTAAATCCATCCTTATTAAACACACTACAACCTGATGGATCAACTTTATTTACTCCTTTGTTGTATCCTTTATAGAAAGCCATTTTTATAACATACACAATGTTTACAAAAACATCTTCAGCAGAATGAACGCAGAAATAGAACCAATTCCAACCCCCACCAGAGTACTACTACCTACTGTTTCACCACTGCTAACCAACGTGCTACGAATGGGTGGTGTAGCTTTCCCAGGTTTTGCTTGACTTTTTACATATCCACTAAGAGTATCAAGGTGTTTAACTGGTGTAGTATCCTGATGTTGTTTCTTTGGAGGATCAGATTTCCTAACACCTACGTAATTAAGCTATGTGTTAACACCACGTTTTATATGAAAGGTAGCATTTACAAGCACATTGTTATATCCAATAATAGGTTTCTTCAGAATGATCAAACTAGATGGAACTAAAACTATTCCAGGTGTAATAACAGTATTAAATATAACATTAGTGTCTTCAATAGCCTTTCTCATATCTGATAACGTTACAACGGGATCTGCTTGTACAACACAATCGTGAACTACATTACCGAACTTTACCTGGGTAGAAAATGATTTTCCCATTTCACCGACTATTGGAGTTCTTGTTGATGCTTGTGCTCCCAGTACGGAATATGAGAACGCCTGCACTGACTCATTCAATAACAGTAGCTCAGTTTCAGTAATTTTCTTAGGAACATCAAAGGGATTGACTGCAAAAAATCTTCTATAGTCAGATTTACCTGCAAGTCTAACCGAAACTCTTTCATCATAGTTGATTTTTATCTTCTCAGGAACCGATTAACTGAATTGATAGGGGATGCAACCACATTTGTAACTGGATTACTATCACTACCTCTCTTTCTAAGCCAACTTGCTTTTTCGTACTCAAGACCGTTATCATAAGTAACTCTATATGTATCGGTTTTACTTTCCCAATTACAACAATAGGAATGTGACCCTTTACATGACCCAACTTACTCAAATAGGGTTTTATCCTTTCTGGGTTGTACACAAATTTACTAATAGTGTAGTAAACATGGAAATTCATGATACTAGTGATAACTGGATAGGTTATGTCAGTAAAGGTCATATGACTGGTGGTAATCCCACTAAGATGCGTTGCAATGTAAGCCCCACAGTACAGAATGCAGCAAAGTATGGCTTTTTGTAGTCGAATTTTACGTCAACATCCTTAATTTAATGGTAATAGAGCTTACCACACTTGGAAGAAGAGATCCACCTGCACCACCAGTAGTAGTAAAAACGTTTGTAGCATCGACATACACCTTGAAATTATTGACATCCTTAGGCCATCTTATCCCTGGAAAGTAACTGCGACCATCAATCGTATCATCAGGATTAATCCCATATCCATTTCCCCTTCCGGACCACATAGCAGGCCATCTAACACCTTTAGTTGTTACTTGTAGTGGAGGCTGATCCATGTCAGTCATAGGAATAAACTGTTTGGGAATAACAATTTTCTTAGTACCTGTGAGATAGGATGTAAACTCCTTATCCTTCTTGAAGCCATCATTTCGTACATCATACGAGGATATACCATCTAAATCAACGAACCATGTAACAACTCCTATGTCACCGCTACTGGTAGCCTTTGCTTCAAACTTAAACCTCTTCATATCAGCGTGAGGGTACTTTTTAATAAACCTAGCCCTCTCAGCGTCCTCTGCCTTCTTACCAGCAATAGGATCAACATAATCCTTTTTATCCTTTCCATACTTTTTTTCGTAGTCCTGGTACGACCGATACGGCGACTTACCAACTCGTCCTCCACCTAGTATCATTCTTAATAACCTAACGTATGTTATTAGAAGATGAAGATCACAGCACTCATTAAAGGATCCCACACTATAGTACCACTGTACAATTCAGTATTAACAAGCAACTATAATTCAGTCTTTGTGAAGAAAGTATCGGTCTTCTGGGAATATTTCAATATAGTGAAACAAACAACGTTAATTATTGTGAAGGCAGATGATGGAGAATCGAATGTAAACATTGAAAAAGGATACCACACATTTGCTAATATTAAAGCTGTACTTGAAAGACACGGTGTAATGCTAACATACTTTGGGGAAACAGCTAAGTGTCAAATAGAGACAACAAAATATGACATCACAATAGAAAAACACTTACTTAACATGCTAGGATTCAACAGGTATTCTACTCCAATGATTCTATTAAAAGGGAGAAGTTTAGCAGGTGATAGTAAAGTTGACATCAAAAACGGTCTACGATTCATAAACATTCATTGCAACCTTGCAAGTAAGAGCTACAACACTAACCACTGGGGGAAGCCAAGTGATGTTGTAACAAGTATTACAATTCCGACAGACAGACCATTATTAGGCTCAGTGGTTTGTTACATTGACATTGAAAGTAGAGTTTCATTAGTTAAGGGTTCATGCTCAGAACTGGTATTCCATGTAAAGGATCAAGACAGGAAACCTATTGATATAGGTGAAGTGCTTATCGAGATGTACCTTGAGTAGTGAGCTTACATCTGTTAAAATAAGATGGACGATGATATTATGGAAGAACAGGGACTACGAGATATTTACTACAATCCTAAGACTGGATTTCAAACACCAGAGAAACTATATCTTAGAGCAATTTTGGAAGGACTTGAAGTAACCAGAGACCAGGTTAAGAAATGGATAAGCGAGCAAGATACTTACACTAGGTATAGGCAAGTGTTTAGGAAACATAAGTTCAGACAGACGCTTGTCCAAACTTTAGGTGAGCAGTTACAAATGGATTTAGTTGATATGACAAAATATGACGACAAAAATTACCGCTGGATTCTCACATCAATCGAAATACTGAGTAGGTACGCTTTCACAGTACCAGTGTATAGGAAAAATGCTAAAGAAATGAAGGACGCTGTCAGTAACATTTTAGAGCAATTTAGGAATCGTTTCGGTAAATACCCGAAATTCGTCCAGTTTGATCAAGGCACAGAGTTCTACAACAAAGATGTAAAATCATTGCTCAATAAACATAACATCGAGTTTTTCTCTACTTATTCAGATAAGAAGGCCGCAGTTGTGGAAAGGTTTAACAGAACACTGAAAGCACTAATGTGGAAGTACTTTTACATTGCTAGTACATACACATGGTTGGACGTCCTTCAATACTTAACTGATAATTACAACAGTTCAGTGAACAGATCAATTAAAACAACACCGGACAGTGTAAATGACTCCAATTGGACTGAAGTATGGCAGACACTTTTTAGTTACAACCTAGGCGAGCCGTCAGAACCAAAGTTTGCTCTGGGAGAAAGTGTTAGAATTTCAAAGTACAAATCAGTGTTCACAAAATGGTACGATGCAAACTTCACAGAAGAGTTATTCACTGTGACGGAAGTGTATCACGGTCATCCAAACACATACACAATAGACGACAGCGCTGGTGAACCAATAATTGGCAGATTTTATGAACAAGAACTACATAGCGCTGAAGGAAGAGAACCTGATTTCAAAATAGAGAAAGTACTACGGAGAAGAACTGTGAAAGGTAAAAAGATGGCTTTCGTTAAGTGGTTAGGTTACGATGACAAATTTAACAGACATTAAGTCTCTAACATAGGTTACAGTATTATGGAAGGTGCAAACGACTATGACGAATATGAGATGGAGGAGATGGAAAAACTTATCCTCAATATGACGATTACAATTACGATGATCTGAATACATCCCTTGGTAACCTAGAAAGAAAGGTGAAGGGAGAAGCAATGTATGGCGACGATCCTTTACTATTAACTGATCTTAAAAGTGAACTAGATTATGTAAGGAATCTCATGGAGAAACGTGCAATAGAAGAAACAACTTTCACCGAAGGAAATGATGGTACAGTGAACATTTCAGGACTATTAGGAACCGAAAACGTTCCAGGGGTAGATTTTGTGGAAGACCCAAACAATTTACTTCCAGATGTGCTAGATGCATTTGATGAAACATCTGACAAAACATTTGATGAAACATCTGTGGCACCCTAGCTGGGTTCTCGACTTTGCCAGGGGAGAGCCCATACATTCCGAGCGTCCAGAACCGCAAAGCATGGAAGAAAGAAGAAAAATCATAACATACATAGAGAATAAGTATGGTGTTAGGATTGGAACCACCGGGGGAGGTGTGGGGTACCCGAGCTGGGTTCGCAAATTTGTCAGGGGAGAGTCCGAACGCTACGGGTTCGGAAGCTGTGAAACCAGTGGAGTAACGGAAAGTACTAGGAATGAGGATAAGGATAGCAGGGGCGAGTATGAGGACGGGGATGAGTACGAATACTACAGAGGGTGGAGGAATGTGATTGGTAGATTAAGACTTGCTAGACTGTTTTTACCAGAAAGAAGGGTGGGTGAAACTCAAAGGGATTATATTGATAAGGCTCGTAGTAGATTTGGACGATTACTTGTTTACGTTAAAACAGTTGAAAATGACATAAAGTGTCTCGATAGACTTAGAAAGTGGGCAAGCGAGAACAGGTCTCCGCTTGCATTTGCAGTAATGAGTGTTACTATTGCGGTAATTATGGTGGGAATGCTTTCCAGGAAAATGACTGCAAGGGGGTCGGGCGTTGTGTACGGGGCGGCAGCTGCTACTCACGAAGCTAGTAAGAAACTACCTCCAGTCATTTCCGATGTCATGAAAGAAATAACAAAGCTCCTGGACACCACTGGTGACCTGATGCTCCTACTAGCTTGTAACCTGTGGGTTATTTGCATTATGGCTGCGGTAGGTATTGTATTCAGCTAAACATTACATATTGTATACAAGTATGAATACAACAGAAAGGGAACTTCAACCTGGCTTCAGGAGGAGTCGCATGACAACTATAAGAGGACCTAGGACAAGAAGTGTTGTAACATTCAATCCAACAACTATTAGTCCAGGTGAAGAGCTGTACATTAACATTCCAAAGCTTAAGTCTGACTCTTGCCTAGTCCCCGGATCACTTGCACTATTATTTGACTTCAAGAATTCCAACACAAAGAGTAGATTTAAGAACAATCTTGCTAAGTTGCTAACAAAACGTCTTCAAATCAAAGTAGCTGGTGAGACAGCTTATGACTGCTCAGGAGAGAGTCTGTACGAAATATACAAGGATCTATTGCTAACACTAGGTGACGGAAATAAGATGACTGAATAGGGTCTTGCAAGTGATAATCTTAGAAAGCTAATCTCAGGTGATGACTCAGGTGTAAAAGTGTGTGATGCTGGTAAAGTAGCAGATGCACTACTCCACAGTGTATACGGTTCTAAGCTGAGAAAACCAATTGATAAGATAATAGAAGACCATGGACTTTACACTCCATTCTCCATGAATAATAATCCTATGTACGTCCTCACACTGCCACAATCAGATGAAATTATGACTGCCCAAGGAGGTGAAGCTAAGGGTGATTACAAACTTGATAATCTTGAGCTAGAATACGAGACCATCGATAATGACAACCTTGCAAGTGAAGTATCAAGGCTCTATTCAACAGGTCGCTCGCTGTCCTACAAACACGTAACTCTAATGCGTACAAGTAATTGGGATAAAGATAGTACCATTATCAATGAAAATATAAATATGCCCAGGAAGAGCATGTCAGCAATTTTCCTTCTATTCACAAGCAAAGTGAGAACTGATAGTGAAGAATACATTTACGCAAACATTGATAAAGTCAACATGACAATTGAAGGAGTGCCCAATGCAGTCTTCTCCCAGGGTCTTCCTAAAAACAGATTCTTCGAAGAGGCAAAAAGGTTCTTCTGCCCTATGTGTGAGAAATCCATGGCTGACGAGTTTATGTCCATCACTAAGTTCTTCAGTAACGGTTTCGTCTTAGTAGTCGATCTTAGGTCAACACAAGATGATACCACAGGTGGAGGAAAGAAGATTGTAAATACACAGTCTGGCGTACTTCGGGAAATCAAAAAGAGAGCCACAACTGCTGATGTTCAGTGCAACATCTTTATTGTATCAGATGCTCTCCTTAACTTTGCTAATAGAGATCTATCAAGCATTCAATACTAACGGTAAAGCATATGGAGCCACCGTTTAATATGTTAATAGTCGGAATGACTGGAAGTGGTAAGACAAAGTTCTTACTTGATATGATAGAAACAGAATATTATAAAGTTTTCGATTACATTATAATTATATGTCCAACAATAGAATGGAATACAACTTACATCAACTGGATATACCTTAGTGATAAAGGTATAATACAAATTCCATGTTCACAGGAATTGATAGATGTAGTGTTAAGAGCAACATCAAGACTGTTCCGTGGAACACAGACTGTAATCATAGTGGACGACTGTGCGGCAAGTCAAGCTGTAAAGAAAAGGGTATCAGAACTGGTGAACCTGGCATTCTCAGCTAGACATTACAACTTATCTGTCGTTGTACTTGCACAACAACTGTCATCAGTAGCAAAGCCGTTTAGGAAAACATTTCCAGGCTAGTAACATTCTACAACCCAAGCCGTAAAGATATGAAGGTAATAATAGATGACTATCTCCACGGTGTTCCTCAGGAGACAATTAACGTGATCACAGAAATACTAAGAGATAAGAAGTTCACCGCACTGGATATACTACTAGTACACCCTTACACCTACAAAATTAGGTTAAACAATGTGTAGAGTATAAATGATGGGAACAGAATTCGAAAGGGAGATTGACAACATACTGAGTGAGGAGGTCGCAGAGTTACCAAGTAAGAAGCCAAGACTTACCGCTAAGAAACCAAAGGCCGCCGCAGAGAGGTCGCAAACTGAGAACAAAAGGGAGAAGCTTATCGAACTGTCAAGGGATGGTATTGTGGAGAAGTCTGTAAGTTTCATAAGAAAGTCTAATAAAGATGTGGTCGATAGACTATGCGATGAACATGAGAATCAAAGGATGACGTTTGCTAGTGACTTCTTTTAATTCCACACTTATTATTTCAAAGTTTGCTTCGGCACTTGGTAGCTTCAATGCAGTGGAATCAGCTGACGCACTATCTGATGAACTACTTAGTGATAAACTTCTTAAGGAAGACGTATCACATTTAACTAGAAGTATATCCCCTAACATTCCATTCATAGGGCTCATATCAGGTGGATGTACAACCCCAAGCATGTAGTAGCCCATATGTGGAATAAGGAAGAGCCAGAAGTGTCAGATGAAGCTAAACATCTCCTATTACATACAGAATGCCACAAATCGACTGGGGAAATCCCTGGGTAGAAACAGAGTTTGAAGAAATAATCGATGAACTGATTGAAAAGAATGATAAGAACAGGGAACAGCTAGTAGAGATGCAAAGCACACTGGATGCACTTAAGTATGGCTTTGAAGCCTTCAGAGACAGTATGGTAGACGCAATTGTGAAGATATACAAGAATTTAAATGAGATGCAATAATTCTAAATAAAATAGCTCCAAAAATATGTGCATATATAGTATAGAGAAGATGGAACAAATTTTTGATAACAGGAAACTGAATGTTAGTGTAAGAACAGTGAGGTGGGGTGAGGGTATACTGTTCTATGCAAAAGATGTGGCGGAATCACTAGGATACTCAAACACATGAAGAAAAGCTATTAGAAACCACGTTTGGGAGGAAGATAAGTGCACAATAGGTGGATTGGTAAGGGGTCCCTCAAGGGGTCCCTCAAGGGACCCTTTACCGGGAGGTCATCCAAGTACTGTTCTTATTACAGAACAGGGTCTGTACCAGCTAATATTCGGATCGGAGTTAAACACAGCAAAGGACTTCAGACGGTGGGTATTTACTGAGGTACTTCCCTCTATCCGTAAAACAGGCTCATACTCACTACCTGATAGAAGATCACTCAGATACAACCAGATGATCCTGGTAAACGAAACGAACCTTCATTATGCTGTTGTAAGATACCTCATAAACAACCATCGTGAAACTGTAGTCATACCTGGACTTGGTGAGCTCCAGGATACGTCAGGCAAACGATGTGACGCTTGGAAAAAGGGCTACAGGGGCGGACAGCCTGATATTATCATTGAGAACCCTAAGGGCAGCTACAAGGGGTTTGCCATATAACTCAAGTCTCCTAAGGGAACAGGAGCTACAAGTGAGAAACAAGCTATGTGGTTAAAGAAACTTAGACAGTTAAGTCACATGACTATGATAGGTGATGACTACGCACAAGTATGCATAAGAATAAGTAAGTACTTTTCACTGCAAAGGGAGACTAAAATCCCTAAGGTGGAAAATGTTGTCAGCGATGTCAAGTTGTACAGAGAGAAGTTTAGGAATTGGTGGTAAAGATAAACTTAGAGAATGCTCGGCTACTATAGTTGGGCATTTTTTAAGCAATCCCATCTACATAGACATCTACATAGACACCTACATAGTTAAACATCGATACCTATATAGAATGGCTGATCAATCTGATACAGAAGCTGTTACTGTTACTAGTGAAAAGAAGGATCCTAAAAGGGTTGAAGCTGGAAAAAGACTTGCTATATTAAGTAAAGCAGCAAGGGAAAGAAAAAAGAAGGAAGCTGCCCAGCCAAAGGAATCAACCAACAATGATAATATGATTACCTACCTGGGTGTGGGAAGCGCAATGGTATCTCTTGTACTAGCATTCAGCGCACATCAGAGGGAAACTAGGGAACCAGAAGTCAGATACGTACCTAGTACTGTAGAAGTAACTAAAAAATTAGATGAGTCCAAGTTAGATTCACTTGAATGATCTACTAAACATAACATATAAAGTAAAAAACAAATTCCGAAAATACAGGACATCTTGAGAATTCAATATATAATTCAAAACAAGACGCAGTTTGAGACTGTAAATTTTCGACTTTATTTCAAAATCATCTTCAGACAGAATGAAATACAATACTTTACAACACATATATATATATATATATATACAACGCAGAGAGAGAGCATCTGTCATGTGGGCGGAAAGAAGGATTATCCAAGCGAAGCGAAACATGATAAAGAAATAGTATAGGAATTCAAGAAGGCTACCAGTTCGTTTCTTTCGATGTTGAATCCCTTTTTACCAACGTTCCACTTTCCCGCACAGTCAAAATTGTACTAGACCGTATTTATAAAGACGAATTAATTGCAACCACTTTGAAAAAGCGCACTTTGAAGAAACTCATTTTGGATTGTTGCAAGAAAACTGCCTTTTCTTTTGACGAGCAAATTTATGTCCAAAAAGACGGCGTTTCTGTGGGTTCATCATTAGGGCCTGTCTTAGCTAATATAATTTTGACTAAATTTGAAAGATTAATAGTTTCCGAGTTGATTGCCGATGGTACTATAAAATTCTACAAACGTTACATTGATGACACTCTTGTTTTGATAAAACCTTCCAATATTTCCGCCGTTTTAGCTAAGTTCAATATTTTCGATCCGAACTTAAATTTCACAGTTGATACATTTCCCGATGGCGTAGTTCATTTTTTAGACATAAAAGTCTCGGTTGATGGTACTGACATTTACCGTAAGGACACCCACACCGGTCAGTATTCACATTTTTCAAGTTTCGAGCCTTTTCATTGCAAAACTGCATGGGTAAAATCTCTGTTCTACCGAGCTTTTAAAATTTGCAGTTCGAAAACACTTTTCAACAATCAAATTGAAACTATCAAATCTTTTATGTCTTGGAATGGTTATCCTAATGGCGTTAGAAACTTTTTGAACTATTGTTGAACTATATTCTTTGCTCTATATTTCATTATGTTCGCATACATTTTATTTAAACACAGCGTTCTCGTAGTAAGTTAACATGATATCCATCGAAGACCTTAGCATTTGGAGAAAATGTCGTGAATAAAATGTTTAATAACACAAAAAAAACCAACTTATTTTTGGACACACTTAGTAGTTCTGACTCGCAAGCGATGACTTCCCCGTTTAAATGCCAATAAAACTGTTGAAGTGCATCGTTATCTAGACATGTTTTGCGTTTTAGTTATTTCTATTAACAGGGGGGCCATGTACCGCCTATGTGCTTGTTTTTTTCAGAATTTTCATTGATTCTCTAGCTTACCATTTTTGGTTTGTTTCGTTTTGGTAGGGAAATACTGAACCAAGAAGAAGAATGATGTTATCAAAGAAGGCAAAAGTCATTCCTGAAAGGTACCATAGTCATCCGTTAGACCGCAAAGAGGATGCAAGATTATCCGAGTATAGTCTTACACCTGAGCAAAGGGAATCTACCTGGAAGCAGCTGCACAAGAACTTACTCTCTCATCAAAATCAGCTACTAGGTTATCAAGGAAACCAAAATTTTACCCTCGAAAGTGTGAAACCGTTTTTTGACATCGTAATCAACAATGCTGGAGATCCATTCTCAGGACAAACGCAAAATGCACTGAACACTAAGATCATCGAATGTAGCGTGCTGGATTATTTTGCTAAACTCTGGAAAATACATCAATCCGATTCTCCAAACGAGGAAGAACGGACATACTGGGGTTATGTTGCGTCCATGGGCTGCACTGAAGGTAATCATCTCGCATTGTACAACGCAAGGGAGTATTTAGCCGGAATGCCTCTCAGTAATCCTATCCTATACAATACGTGTAGAACACCTGTGAACCCGACTGTTTCGTCCAACGGGGAATCCAAAGAAGAATTGTCAAATTCACAACTAAAAGACAATCCTAACGCCTTTACTCCAGTTGTATTTTTATCCGAAGAAGGCTTCCACGGCCTTGAAAAAACATTGAGAATGTTACAAATGAAAACTTTCAGTGATATCGGCAGTGGATATTTTCCTTGCCCATTGAGATATCCAGATGATTACCCTTCCAGTTTTTGTGACGAATCCCTTGATGAAAACGGCTGGCCACGTGCAGTGCCAGTTGAGGAGGATGGCTCAATTAGCATCCCATGCCTTGTGAAACTCGTCACTGCCTTTGTTATGAGAGGCTACCCTCCAGTGGTAATTTTTACCAGTGGTACCACCTTTAAAGGAGCTTACGATAATCCACGAGCTGCCATTAATGAGCTTGTGCCTATGTTGAAACAACACAACATGTACGAACGCCTTGTACATTGTTCGGAAGACCTGGTCAAATCTGATGTCCGGAATGGATTTTGGTTTCATATTGACGGTGCCCTGGGAGCAACCCATCTTCCATTTCTGGAGATGGCAATCAATCAGGATTTGGTTGCCAATACGTTTCCAAATGGTTTTCCTGCATTTGATTTCCGCATTCCTGAAGTGAAATCCATTGCAACGAGCATACACAAATGGTTTGGCTGTCCTTTTCCTTCGGCAGTTTTTATGATGAGGAAAACGGATCAAGTAAGACCTCGTGATAACCCGATGTATGTTGGTGGTCACGATAGCACGTTGTCCAGTTCCAGGTGCGGCCACGGTGTTTTAGTACTGTGGGACCTATTCTCAAAGAAATCTTACCAGGATTTTACCGCAATAGCTGCCCGTGGAGACGAAATGGTGGTGTTTTTGCTAAGTAATTTGCAAGAGCTGGAAAAAGAACTATGTGTAGACTTATGGCTTTCAAACTCACCGGGTTCATTGTTTGTCTGCTTCAAACAACCAAGACAAGATATCGTGCATCGTTATTCATTGGCTTCACATTTGCTGAAGATAAAGTCTACGGGTGGCATATTCGAACGAAGGATTTGTTCGCATATCTGTGTTATGGCTCATGTCACCAAGAAGTTAATTCTACGTTTCATTGAAGAATTGCGCACTCCTGAAGCATTTCCAAATCAAAACTAACATTTTCTTTCTAATCTGTAATATCAGTTTTTTGTATAAGTAATACAATGTGGTTTCGAGTGCATTTTGAATAAAACATGAACCAGTAGGTGAGTTTTTCAAGAAGTCCCAGAATAGAATGAGTATTTGAGGCTCTTGAATATCTCACGAGTGCTGGTTTATCCATATTTCACAGGAAACCATTCCATATTAACAATATGCATAAAAATGTTAGGGGCAATTGTATTTTTAACTTACACGTTTACAGCTAACTGTCAACTGACAAAGTTTTCCGTGGTCCTCTTTTATTTCTGAATTGTATAAATGATTTTAATAGGTGCTCGGAAATCTTAGATTTCCATCTTTTTGCAGATGATTCTAACTTATTTTACAAACATAAGAATCTTGTAGAGCTTCAAATAAATCTAAATAGGGAGTTACATAATATTCATGTTTGGCTGTGTGCTAATAAGCTGTTTCTAAATGTTGATAAATCAAACTTTGTCATATTTCATCCTCTTCAAAAGAAAATAAAATAATGATATAAAACTAATTATTAATGGTAAAGAGTTAAAAAACACTTTTGTATTAAATATCTTGGTGTCGATATTGATTCGCATTTAAATTGGAAAAACCAGGTTGACTATATTGTAAAAAGATTAAACGAACTATAGGGATTATCTCTAAATTTCGATATTATGTCAATAAAACTATTCATCTCAGTATCTATTATATGCATTAGTACATCCCTTCCTAATTTATGGTATACTTGCTTGGGGTAATACTTATCCAACTGCGCTTAAGCCACTGCAAATATTGCAAAAAAGACAATACGTTTAATGACCTTCTCTAAATTTGATGCACACTCAAGCCCTCTGTTTAATGACCTTAAAATAATAAAGTTTCTTGACCTTGTTAATTTACATATTACAATATTCATGCATAAATTTCATAATAATAGTTTGCCAACTGCATTTAATAATCTCTTTACTCCTGTCAACCAGACAAATAACTACAATACTAGACTTGCATCCAAATCGTGCTACTCTATTTCCAAAACAAGAACAAATTATGGAATTTTCAATCTAAGATATCAAGGATGAAAAAAAAAGCTCTATATCTTTCCTCGTTAAAAAATATTTTAAAAGCTAATTTTTTTAATGGCTATTGATAAATTATGGCTAATTTGGTTAATTTTCGTAGAATGTTGATTACCTCCGCCAGGAGGTTATGTAATCATCTGGGTTTGTATGTGTGTGTGTGTGTGTGTTTGTCTGTGGGCACGATAACTCAAGAAATACCAAAAATATCCGTACGAAATTTTGTGCGTGCATTTCCCATCAGCTAAGGAAGAACTGATTACAATTTGGTTGAATTTGGTTAAAAATTGAATGAGAAATAACAAAAGTTTGTCTTGCTTTTCCCGGTCAATTAAATAAAACTTATACTGAATGCGTAATTAGGACGTGCATAATATATGCACCAGCCATTCAAATTCTAATAACAATAGATTACTTCAATATTTTGCGCGTAGGCGGAGGTATGCAGTCTCTGAGTGCCCTCTAGTTTTCTATGTAATGATTAACAAAATATCCTAAATGATGTGCAACGGTTGTTTTCTTTGTTTTCTTTGTCTGTGTGTTCTCTCTCTCCGTGTTTCGACCTAGTGTGTTTATACCCATCATACAAATATATCATCCAAAAAATAATTGTGAATCTTTCACTATAGTGATCTGGCTGCCCGACATGTAGCCCTTTACGGTTATTACGGGTACCAATATTTGATATATTATACTAAGTGATTTGTAATAGTGTATTAGTCAACCTCGTTCCCAGGGCTTTTCCCTTTTTGTCATTGGGAAGGCGGGAAAAGGCCTTGGCACCGGCCGGTCACATGACTTTCAACACCCAGATATAGTGGGTGTAATAAATTATATTATTATACATTTAATATGTATTCTCGTTTCTAATTGGTCAGAAAGCACCGGCTAATTTTCAGTATT